GTAATCTATGTTTTCTTCCGTGTTTGTGCTCTGTCAGGATTACTCAGGAATATACACAAAATAAAGAATGTAAAACGAAGTTTCACATACGCAAAAGCTATATGAAGATTTAGTTTTCATATAGCTTTTGTGTATGTGAAATGTTTTATTAGAAAGTTCTGCTTGTGCACTTCACACATATCAATTATATTTTTATTCGTGTATTATATTAAATAATATTTTGTTGATATTATAATAATATATATTATTAAGTTATAAGAACAGATATTTTTCGGCTAAAGCACTACTAAATTTATCTTATTCTAATAATGATACTTTTATTTACATATCAAACTGTACCAGTGATACATCTACAATCACAACAAATATGATAATAGATATTCGACGCAAACAAAACCAGAAGTATAGATAGAATGATTCTACTTATAGTTCTGGTAAATAAATTTTTTGCTGTGTCTTTGTTGTTGATATAACTCGATTTCAATTAACACTGAAATGTAGATATATATAATACTGTTTTAGCTGAGCATTATGTATCATTTTGCTTAAGAATTATTGCATTTATAAAATGGATATATAGCAAAAGATAATTAAAACATAGTATCAAACACGGTTAATATTTGTAATGATTTTGATTTCAAGATAATGATTATTGATCCAAACCAGCGTGTGTTAGGCCCATTGTAACAAGAGATACAATAAATAATATACTACTATATTTAAGGCAGTGCAGAAAATTTAAAAGTTTTGACACACTAAAAGATGCCCTAGCATTATTTAGAGCGCCAATTCTACCTATTTTTTAATAACTAACTTGCAAATGACTTGTGCATGTGAATGCACAATTCATGAAATTACTTCTGTTAATTTGTTAGAGTGTAACTTTTTTGAGTTTCTAAGTTTATTAAATAATGATTTCTTTGTAATTGTGTTTTTTGTTAACTTTTTTTACCTTTTGTAATACATTTCTATGTGTGCATGTAATTTAAATGATAATTTTATTATTAAGAAATTGAATATGGAAAAAAAAAAAAGGTATGGTTGGAGTTTGTCAATTAAAATTAGGTGGTGCCCGCCACTACTACTAAACTTTTAAAATATGCTCTATAGTACAAAATTGGTTGGTAACCGCTCTTTTAAAATTTTATGGAGATGTAGTATGTGTCTTTCTTTAAACTAATTGTACGCATTTATTTTAAAGTTAGAGTTTTTCCTATGTCTAAGTTAATTTCGTCTTTTCTGATGTAAATTTGTTACATTATAAAGAACTATTTACAAGGATTCGCATATTTATTTGTTTTACAAATTGTCCTTCTTTAGAATGTACGGCCAAATGCAAAGATAGCCAAATTTTTCAATAAATCTATTGCAATTATTTTTCTAAAAATGTATTTTTAGAATATTACGCTTTATAATGATATTTAGTTAGATAATCAGTAAAAAGTTTAAAAAAATGGTAAATAATACATATTTTGAGGATTATGAAGCATTTTTCTTATTACAAAATTATTATAAAATGAATTATTATTATATTACCAGCTGTCATGACCCGTAAAATACGGGCCTTTATAAATTTATTCCAAATCGGTCTTTTCTATAATTAATCCTTACTTCAATATTTTGAAGTGAGCTGTAAAAAAGTAGCATTTGGGGACAATAACATAATAACGTAGTAGTATTTGGGGACAATAACATAATTGCTACATTTACAAATTAGATGCTAAAAAAAAATTTGTAAATGCTAACAGAGTCAAAATTTGTTATTAATCATGGATTATTTATGTGACCATGAAAAAATTATGTTACAAATTAGCCTTAAATGATCAAATATTGTTGACTTTGGTAAAATTAAAATAAAAACAATTATTAAAATGCTTGCTTATATATGTAGCATCCTTTACATGATGTAGTAAGCAATTAGCTATTTGGAAGTGGGTCTATTTGGAAGTCAGAACTGATATTTATAAAACATTAACACCTGTTTTCAAGACAAAGTTTCTTACACTTACATGCTTTAAAATATTTATAGAGTCTCATTAGCAAGAGCTATATGTAACAGTCAGTACAAGAAACATATTACAGCATATAGCCAAAAGTAATACCAGGCAAAAAATCACATGTTGGAAATTTATGATTTTTTATGTTAAAAAACATTTTACAATTAATGTTTTATGCTTATTTTCATTTGCTACATTTTTATGTTTTAAAATTTTTTTATTTTAATCAGTTTATAAAAAACTTTATCAGTTTAAGAAAAATACATGAATTTTAAAAAGAATAAAAAAAATACAAACAGGAATAAAAAAAGTAAATTATAGGATGTTTCCTTTTTGTATTTTTAATTTTTATTTTTTGCTTTGGGTTTAAAGTAGTTTATTTGTTTAATTTTATTTGATAGTACGCTTGAAATATTTTTTTTAATAGACTTAAAAAATAAAACTAGCGATTTATTTTACAGGGTACCATGTAACTTATAAATAAAACAAAAAATCAAAAAACT